GACAGTTTCCAGTATATAATATTCATGTATGGTACAAGTTTCATATCTTGTTGAAAATTAGCTATTGCTAAATTAATCAGAAAAGACAAATTGACACACTCGTATGGTAGGTAAACAACTCTTTAAACAAGTATGTAAGAGGTGTTCTGTGCTTATCCGATATTCCTTCTCCATCATGCGACTAAGAATGTGATATCCGAATTAAGAAGCCATTGTTAAGTAGAAGATAGTAATCTTCTTGTATTATAATAATCTGGTATGTAGTTCCTATGATGAAACAAAACAAATCTCATGAAAATATGTTATTTATCATACTGATATAAAATACAGTTACTTAGTCTTATACATTTTCACTCCCCCTGGAGTAGATGATGTAATTATATTATGTTGCCTAGCAACATGCCCCTGGTGTATCAGTATACCCTCGGCACGTGTCGAAGGTCATGTTTGTTTACTTCTGATTCCCATGAAGAAAAATTAATGTTTTAAAAGTTAAGATATTGTCAGAGTGATTTACATTATGTAGAAGATAATAATCTTGTTGCATCACAATAATATTGTTTATAGATGAAACAAAACAAATCTCATGAATATATTTTATTTATAGAACACAGTTACTTAGTACATTTTCACGCCTTCTGGAGTAGATGACATAATCCTATTATATCGCAAAGCAAAATACCTCTGGTTTTGTTGACATATGAATGACGTACATATTAGGTCAATGCCCTCGACACGTGTCGAAATTGGATCAAGATCATGTTTGTTTGCTTCCGGCTCCATACGACCATATTAACTCCTAATAGCACTGTCTAGATTGACAATGTTTTTAGTTATTTATAGATCATAAGCATTTTTAATTCTATTTAGTTTTATACCTTAAGAAAATAAAAAAAAAACATAAAGCTTATCTCGTGACCTTCTTACTTTATACTTTTCATCAATTTTATTTTATTATTTATAGACGAAAATGTTTTGCCGCGTGTTGCTTTTGAAGCTTTGAGCCAAGTTTGTTTGTTTGTTGAATTTCTCGCAAAGCTACTCGAGGACTATCTCCATTAGCTGTCTATAATTTAAGAGTGATAAGGCAGCTAGTCAACACTACCCACCGCCATCTCCTGGGCTACTGTTTTATCAACGAAAAGTGGGATTGATCGTTACATTATAATGCCACCATTGCTGAAAGGGCGAGCATGTTCAATGAAAAGATTCGAGTCCGTGACCCGCAGATTCTGAGAAGAGCGCCCTTACCACCATGCTTTGCCAGGCTGTTCTTCCAAGAAACTTTAGCCATTGCAGTCTACTTCGTAATTAATATTAAGTAAAATTATCTATCATAAGACGCGAAATAAACCGAAAGTGCTGTCTTAAATAGTCATGAATTGAGATTTTTTTCCAAGGTAAGGAAATTAATTTAAATTACAATTTACAAGCAAAATACTCGTGAAAATGTACAGGGAACAACAACTACATAAAACATTTTACCACGTTATTCTGAAGAACAATTTACATTTTTCATACCAGTTTGCAAGTAGGTCCGTGAAGCCAGTCTTGAGTGTCTTCAAAACTTTCTTGGCTTTCCGCTAAGGGATCCCAAAAAGTTCGAAAATCTAAACATACTGGCTTCGTCGGCACTGGATATAGCAGACATACACCCATCTCTACTTTGGCTTTGAAGTTCTTATTAATATATACTTATTTTGAACAACTTTTTATTCATCCATGCTAATACCAATTCAACCAGTAAATCAGTCCCGACAACTTTTAAAGCCTCTTTGACTTCGATATGGAGGCTCAAATGTGAAAACATATATATTCTTCCAGTAGCTCAGAGGTAAGACTAAGGGCATATGCCACTAAAAATCGGGTGAGCACAGCAGAGAAAGTCCATTGTGTAGCTTTGTGCTTAATAACAAACAAACAAAAAACATGATTGTATAGACTTCATTTGACATCTTACTTAAGTAGTAATTTCAAGTTTTTCTAAGGTCGAAAGTGCACTATAGCTATAGTCTTATTGTTAAAAATGTGTCCTGTTTATTAACAATGTATTTCTTAGTAAATATGCATGAAACGATATCCTAGCCAGAAAATAGAACCTTATTATGATTAGTTAAGACAATAAGAAGGTATTGTAATGTCCAGAATACATATTTTGCTTTGTTTAGTACATTATATACTTGACGATAACTTGTTGAATTGAACAGAATATTTACACAATAAAATCAGATAAATTACTTAGGAAATTAAAAAAAAATTTTTTTTTACTAAGTAAATGTTTTTTATATTTCATCGCTAACATAAAATGATAAAAACCCTATAACCTGAGCGCTTTCGAAAGGCGGACCTTTCTTCTTCAGAGGCAAACTGGGAGTGTCATCGCTAACATAATATTTATAAAGTTTTAAAGCTGTCTAATTCATCAGTTGAGTTAATTTAATGTAATTTTTCTTAAAACTTCTATGAAATAACTAGCTTTTGAACTCCTTCATTTTTGAGTCTCTAATACCTAAATAGCAAATGGACGTTATGATCCAAACACATTCTATAACAGCTTTGCAGATTTCTCTCTACATGTTCAATAGGGTGCATCGAATTTACTTAGTCGAAAATTTTATTTTGTAATTGCTAGTCGGCAGGGTGTGCAATAGTTGCCTTTTATTATAAGAATTAATCTTGTGCAGTATGAAACTCATCCAATTATATCTTCAACTGCTGCAAGGAAACCAAAGTTTGAAAAAAAAGTGTATCATCTCTCCACCAAATGAAATAGTTAATCACGAGGAGTTAATGGTTTCAAGCTAAGAAGATTCTGATGTTGCTAATACTGTACTTTCTACATCGAAATCCTAAAATATATAAACAAACGAGGATACCGCTTCCAACGGTAGTGAGAGAAGCTGACAGGTAATGTATTTCAGATAGAGCTGCTGCAGCCCTTACCTCAGCTGTTTTGGAAGATATGGGCATTATTCAACAAAATGACAATGCTAATATTGTCGATAAAAACAAGATATGACGAGAAGGAGAAAAGTAGCGAGAAACATTATTGACGTCTGAGGAATCAACTTGTATTAAATCTTTCTACTTTGATGATAGAAAATAACTAAAATTGTCATTAAAACTGGGCAAAATCATTATAAACGTGTAGTCATGAAATAGCACATAACTTTGATCAGTGAACCTGAATCAGTTTTTATGGGTCACATTTTTCCTTCTTCCGGAACATCAGAACGTATAAAAAATTCTATCATTCATTTGTTTGAAGATAACAAAATTTCATCTGATCATTTAGTCGCTATAGGCTGTGATGGCACATACGTCAGTACTGAAAAAAAGCTGGAGTTATGCGACTTCTTGAATTGGACTTAGGAAGACCTGTTCATTTGTTAATTTGTTTGTTACCCCTGTGTCATCTAATTACACATCTTGGCGAAGTAACTCTAGGACCATCCACTTTTTCTGGTCCTCTTGGAAAGAAACTGAAGATTTGTGAATCATTGCCTTCAGTAAACTTTGTTTCAGTTGAAATTACAGAGCCATTACCGAAAATTGACCATCCTGAGCATCTTAGTACAGATAAAAAATATTTGTATGACATGCAATGTGGTAGTGTCAGGTCATTGTTCAAAAGAACTTGCTTTACGTGACCTTGGTACAATGAACCATTCTCGCTGGTTAACAACACCAAACAGGATTTTGCGCCTTTACGTTGCAACTGCTAACCTGTTCAAGAAGCTTAGTTTGTTAGTGAAATATGTAATTGAAGTGTATGCAACAGTTTGACTTAATATCAAGAACAGTCCCTCATGCAGCCATGGCTCACTGCACCTTTTTATACTTGTAAAAAAATCACGTTTTCTTCCTGAATCAGAGAAATATGTTGTGGATAGAGTAATCCAGAGAAATGCATATTTTGCCCACCCGGAAAATTTATTGCTTGCAATGCTTGGAGATGATTCTAAGGCTATCAAACAACTTGCTCTTCGCAGAATATTAGCTGCTCAATCTACTTCAAATTCTAGCACAATGAGGCAGTTTGTGGTTCCAAATATTAATACAACGTTACACTGATCTAATAACGTGGATTGAGAGTTGAGTCACCACTTACAAAAACTATAGGCAATGAACAGTTGGTGTCTTACCCTCATAATTACTACTATTAAAAGGCACCAATCGTATACCCTGCCAATAATGATATAAGAAAGTTATATTTTCGATGCACCCTAATGTGCAATCAAATTACTACGTTAAGAAAACATCGCGAACAATGCTTCAGATTGTAGTTCATCTAATTATCATGAATAGCACAATATTTCTAAACATCGAATGAATTTATCTACCTAACCAGCTTTCAATGGCAAAAACAAACAAATTTCGAAACCTTAATTTGGTTATATCAAATACGTGGATATAGTTATAAAATTTTGCTTTTCCACCAAAGTTTATGATAAACATGTTGACCATGATTTCACTATTTTCTACATACTAAATTGTTTACATACTTTGATCCCAGACGCATGAATCGAATAGGGCCAATATTAGTTAACGTTAGATACGAACGTAACTTTATATTCATAAATTTGATTAGAAAATATTTTTCACTCTTATAAGTTTTGCCTAACATAATCATTAATTTTAATTGTCATTTCAGTACAGCATGGGGAAATTTACATCTTAAACTAATAAAATTGCATCGAGGTGGCTACTAAAGAATTGTCTTTTTATTTTGTAGTGCCATCTCTTGAGTAAAACAGAAGGTACAAAAATGTGCGCTGTGTGTAGAATAAATAGCCTGTGACTTGCTTAACTGTAGGATTCTACAAATTTATTAGAATAAAAAACATAGAAAGATTTCTGTGACCTGTTTGGTTAGATAATTTTCATAACTAAAGTATTTGGAAGCATTTCCTAACAGCTTTGAACGATTGGGGACAACATACAGTTAAAGTTTTTGAGAGGGCGCTATGGTATTATAATAGCTGCTCCGTGTTGCAGCTTGTCAAGGACGAGTTGATTGTTGCTGTTACTGGTGGTTAGGTAGGTGTGATTATAAGGAATTTGCAAATTGCAGTTGTGTGAAAGCTTGTTATATTTATAAGAAGTTTAGGCAGTGTATTCGTTTTTTCTATTATCAAAGGATTTCTGAATTGATTCTATTTAAAATAAACTAATTGAGACATACTGATCACGAGTCACACATATAGTCAATATAATAACGCGAGCTTACAGCAGGAGACAACGCCCTTGAAGTTGAATTGTATGTGTGGAAACATCGACACTTGAGTGAGGAAAAACTGTGCTATCATAACCATGGAAACATATTCAGTGCAGGTAAGTGTCTTTCCGAAAGAAGAAGCTAGTATAAAACTAACAACAACAACAAAAAGTATTTAGAATGCTTTTTTTATTTGTTTTGTTGAACATATAAACATTTAGTAGGAAAGTATTTTCTGGTGTCTGTGTAAACGATTCCTACGATTTATACTTGACGCTTACAGGTTCATTGTTAGTAATCTGAAACACAACTGGTTTAACTTTACAGGTGCGTTGTTAGTAAGTAATCTGAAACAATAAAGCCCAATATCCTTCACATGGTTAGTGTGTAAAGCAAGTAGCAACTACACAGCAGTTGTTGTTGCTACTTGCTTTACATACCAACCATGTGAAGAATTTTGGGCTTACGCTAACAGTGTTAGTGTTAATAGTTCACCAGATAATGGATTCGCTGAAGTATTTACATACTTGTTTAACAATTTGTAAATATACTATAATCTTTACAAAAGTTTTTTAGCCTACTACTTTCACATACGTGTAATTAACTTCTTTGTTCCCATTTTTAAACCAATATTTTTATGTAATTGAACGGAGGTAAAATATGTTAAACATTTAGAGACTTAATTTTAAAATGACATCATACTATTTTTACAATATAATAATAACAATATCATCTCTCTCTTAGAAATGGATAATATGTGTATCGTAAAGCTTCAAGGTTGTTGTCACATTGCGTTAAAAAATCGCTGTTCCATTGTTTCTATTAAGTGAAAATGCTTAATTTAATATGGAAAGTTTTGTTACATACAATATGCTTCTCATGAAGTCGTTTATCAAAATGAATTTTACGTGTTAAGTATACCAGAAGGATAGCAGTTTTAAGGTCGAGATGGAATGACAGAACGAAGTTAAAATAAATAGATGCGCAGAGAAATTAGTATAATGAAATATTAATATATATTTAAACAGCGCGAACTGCGTCAATCGCAACATGCCTGCATTATATTTCATCAACAGGAAATACTTAATGGTTTTATATAGCCGAGAAACAAAAAAAGCAGATTAAAAACTTGCCGATATTTTCAGAAAGAATGCTTAGTTTAGGAGTTTGAAAAGCATACAGATTTGGTGATTATGACTGGTAGAATTTAAACGCGGAACTCTCACCTACTTATTTAATTTATTTACTTAATTAAGTAATGGCCATTCTGAGGTACTTTACAGGTTATATTTATTACAATTTGTTCTTAAAATTAAAAAAAATAAGGATAAACAACATTCAGTGCAGTAATAAAATTCTTGCTGAAAGTATAGCTGTATCCTAACTTTCACTATGTGTAAAAAGAACATAAAAGAAGGCCAGTATGGAAAATATAGTACGACTAACTCCGTATATAAAAGAAAATTTACTTTATTGTTTGGAAGTTCATCTACAAATGATAATTTTTTGGATTGTATCTTCATTCCTTTTTACAAAACAACAACAACTATAAACAAAGAGATGAGTAAGCCCTACTTTTAAGTCGTTTATAAAACTGTTTTTCTCCCAGTATTGTTTCTCGTAGTTAACCAAACTAGGAAAAATATTGCACAAACTTTATCAGATTTTCTAGAATTGAAAAGCGCATGACTGTCGTGATATTCAAGGGAAAGCTGCCTGTACTTGCTGTAGCAGAAAACAACTCGCTCGAAATATCGACAAACTGCACGCCGTTGCTGTTTTGTGAAAGGGAAGCCTTGGTTGTCTGTAGCCACGTGAATTTATCGACTGGTGTACTGGAGATTCTACTCCCTCCTGTCCTCCATCTTTTAATCTGCTGCCACACTAGTTCCAGTGCAGGAAAATAAATGATATGACATCTGTTTTACCGCTGTCTAAACTATTTATCTATGGCTTTTTCTGGAAAATATTAAAGTGGTATATTGTTCGTGCTTAGAAACTAGTTAGCAGTGGCTTCTTCTGGAAAATATTAAAGTGGTATATTGTTCGTATTAAGAAACTAGTTAGCAGTGGCTTCTTCTGGAAAATATTAAAGTGGTGTATTGTTCGTGTTAAAGAAACTAGTTAGCAGTGGCTTCTTCTGGGAAATATTAAAGTGGTGTATTGTTC